CCCAGGTTTTAGGGTGGGAGGGGAGAAAGGGATGGGCCGAGAGCTCTGTCCAAGACTGGGGGTTCCTCGGTCCCTGCCTGGAGTTCCCACCCCTCCCCACCCCCCCACACACAGACGAAGACCATGAAGAGAAACGGAATTTGAAGGCTTCTGGTACTGTGTCTGTACTCTATGTGATGTAGTTTGCTGCTGGCACCTTAAAGCCGTCAGAAGATCTCCGTGATGCGTGTGATGAATCAATGTGGAAGCGGCATTTGAGCCGATGCTTAGCGGTCCACATATTGAGAACACTAATTGATTTTTTTTTTTTTTTTTGTGCTGCTGCCCAGGAACCACCAAAACCGGTGAAAAGTGGAAAAGGTTCAAAAGAAGGACAAGAAGCAGCAGAGGCAGAGGTAACTGCTGTCACATACTCAGTGTCTTTCTTGAACAGCCTTTAATTTAGGGTCTCACACAGAGGGTAATAAAAACCAGAGTCTCTCAAAATCCGTCCCTGTGTGAGACTTTGAAGTGTTTTCATATGGGTTACTTATGGTTCCCCCCCCCCCCACGCACACACACATTAGAGTGCAAGCCTTAAAGCTGACATCTTCAAAATAATTTTGCAGCCTCTAACCTAGCAAGCCCTCCCAGGTGAACTGATCTTAAATTGGGCCCCTAACTCGATTCCGTATTCCTGTTAGCTTCAGGGTCAGCCCCTTCTAACTTTTCTGGTTGTCTGATGGCTTCCTTGGGGACTCTTCCAGGGCCCTCCTCTCCTTGGTGCAGTCTCTTCAGCTGCCCTGGTACAGTCTTTTCTCCTGCTGATGTCTGTTTCTTTGAGGCCTTTTCAGTTACTCAGTGTTGGCATTTTTTGACATCTCTTATTTGGATACTTGCTACAGTCTTCTTATTTCTTTTCTCTCCAGTCCCCTAGCCTCTTTGGTGAGTTCTGACTTTTCTTGCTTCCTGGCTTTGGCTTATTTTGGGAATAGCTGGAATGCCCCCTTGGGTCATTTGGTAGAATCTGTGTTCCTTAGTAGACTTGTACCTTGATGGCATTTGTGGGGCAGCCAGGTTTTCATTATCTTGGAACTAGAGAGCTCAAGGCTAAGGATTCCCAGAGCTCTATTGGCTCAGTTTTTAAAAGCTGCTCATTAGCCTTCCTTCTCCAGAGCTGGATCTCCGAGATCTTACCACAGACATTTTTAATTTGTGAATGTGAGGCCTCTCCTCCCTGCAAACCACATTAGAATGAGTTCAGTTCTGCCTGGAAAACGCAGTTAACTGCCGGTAATCTGCAGGGGTTATTTTAGTTCCAGGTCGTCTTTACCCTCTCATTTGGTGTGTTCTAAGCCTCCCTCCTCTGCAGCAGGTGGTTCATCCCAGCAAATCTGTTTCACTCCCTAGAGCTGAAAGCAGAAATCCAAAAGGTTCCTGAAATACCAGTAGTTAGGATTGTCTGTGCCAGTCTTTGCCTGCCCTTTCTGTACAGCAGACCATGACGTTTCCTGTGGCAATGCTTGTGTTAGACTGTCTTCCAGAGCCAGTGCTTCAGCAATTTTCACATGAAATGTAGCTGCTTTGCAGGAGTATGTGCTTTGTGCTTTGTTTGTTGCTTTGTAGTTAGAACTGCTAAAACTTCTTACTGTTCCCCAAACCTTCCTGGCTCAAACATACCTGTGTCCCGTTACTCTTGGGGGTCACAGAGAAATATCAGTATGTGTGTTTCATTTCTCCCCATTTTAGGAGAAAGACCCTTGCAATAAGGATAGGATAGATAATGTTGAGTTTTGACCTGAAAAAACCATCCCAGTTGAGAAATGCCCATGCCACTGCTGTGTAAGAAAGTATCTGTGAAGTACAATGGGGATTTTACTGTTGGCTGTGTAGGGCTCTTGAGTGTGGCCTGCCATGTCCAGTGTGATCCCCCAGTTGTCTTTTTGTATCTTTTCTAGTGCAGCTGTCTAAGAACTGGAGCCACAGAGCTTGAAATGACCACTGAAAAACACTGAAATGTTGGGCACTTCCCTCCTTCCTCAGAAGGAGACTCTGGAGGCAACAAGGCATACTAAGCATGACACTTGGCAGATTACTGCAAACAGTATTTTTCAGGAACACAAATCAAGACTCGTTAGTCTCGGGAACTCTTGAGTTGACTCCTCCTTTCTGACCACTGTTTTCCTCCCCCAGGCCTTCAGCTCTATTCTTCTCTTCTAGTCCCACCCACTTGAAATATGATTGACTCAGCAAGTGTATTAAGTCATTACCGCACACTTTTCTTCTCCCATTACTGCACACACTTTTCATCTCCCGTCGCTCTGAGTTTGAACATTTTAACCTGAGCAGTTGAAATAGGTTTGTTATTCCCATGTTGCTAGTTGAGCCCTTCACAAGCAGCAGGTGCTCACATTGCCTGAACAGTTAACACACGAAGGCTGGAGAGGTGAACAAGATAGGTGCCCAGCCTCGGATGAGCTGCCAGAGGCTTAGGGAATAATCCCAGCAGAGATCCAAGAAGTTAGCCTGTGATTGACTTAACATACCTTGTCAAGTATGTGGAGAGTCCTTAAAACAGACATTTGCTGGCGGTCCCCTAGCCTCACGGGACACAAGGCATCAAGCAGTTTATACCGCAGAACACTTTTTAGCTAGAACCTGGACTTTTTCAATAAGGAAGGAAAAGTAATAGAGTGAAAGACACCATGAGACACAGGAAGATATTCCAGGCTGTTAGAGAGAAAAATGCTGACATCCCAGGCTGGGAGTAGAGAGCAAAAATGCTGATTCCTGCTTGCCACAAGGGATGCACTCACCTTGTGCAGCATGTTTCTTCATCTCTAAGACAACTTAATGAGGTGAAGATTTTGGGGGGCTGCTTTTAACTATATGGGACAGATTAAGCTCCACTTTTCCTAAGAAGTTTTGCCCTGTATAGCAGGATAGATCTGTTAGTATAGCGACATACTGCTAAAGGTGGTTACTGCTGCTGAGCAGGTCTTCCCTTGCTCTGGAAATTTCTTGAGTGATGTGCTAGTACATTTTTCTTTTGTTTTTTTCTCTGTCAAATAGAATGTTAAAGTTTGACTTGTTGCCTATTCTGAAAGTAAACATTTCTGTCCAGTGCTAGATACAGGTTTATTTTGTATGGTATGTCTAACTGACAGGCCACAACTGAACCTTGGGCCACTTGAAGTTGAAAAATGTTGTGGAGATGGACAGAGAGAACAAGTTGGCATTCAGATAGAGAGGACCAAGACATAGAGAACCATGACTAGGCATATTTTTATGAATACTTAAAGTCTTAAAGAAATTATACTGGGATCCAGATATTGATTTTGCAGGATCAGGCCATTGGATGGTGTTGCTGTATTTATTGTCTTGTTCGTGTTTTTTTAAAATCTGTGTACTTTGTCCAAAGTTGATGTTTTAAAATGTGTTCAAGATTTTTATAAAGTGATTTGTCTTTGGCACATTAAAGGTGGTTTGAGTCTTGTTCTCTGTGTATTTCGTATGCCCGGCTCAGCTTAGTTTTGTTTGAAAGTCTCTCCAGCAACTCTTATATAACATCCAATGCTTGGAAAGAAGCCTGAGCAGTCCTCCCTGGGACTTGATCTCCACTTACCTTTGTGACCGTTCTTTCCCTTTGCATTCTACCTCTACTATCCCTTGGCATCCCAGAGGAAGGGAGAAAGACTGAAGCTTGCCAGGGGCCACATTGTACTGACTGGTAAATAATGTTTTTTTTTTTCTATAAATTAAAACTAAAATCTATAAATTCATCTAATAACGGGATGACATGTAAACATAGGTAAAAATTTTGTGAAAGTATCTTTTAGAATTAACTGGGGTCTTTCTGTTCACTGTCTCTGCATCAGGCATCTTTCTTGAATAAATGGGAAGAGGACAATGGGAGTGGTTTGGAAAGAGCCACATGGTGACTTACACCCTCTGTGAAAGGACCAAGGCCTCCATCCATAGGTTGGCTTCAGCCTTCCTTTGGCTGGCCCTTCTCAGGCCTAAGGCACTTGTCCAGTGCTCAGGTACAGCCTCAGATGGGAGAACTTGGGAGCTGTTACGAGATGGCTGATCTGGATTGACTGCCTTTGGGGCCCTCACAAGCTGGTCCTTCCCTGAAAGTACCCTTTCCTCCAGCTCCCCCTCCATCCACATGTAAGCTGATACAGGTGGGAGCCCTGGGGTCCCACGGACTGCCTGCCAGCGCTGAGTCTCTGCACTGGCCATATCAAGCCAGGTGCTTTGTTAGAGGTTATTCTAGGGCTGTGTGTGTTTATCCTTGGCCTCACCCACTGAATGCCAGTGGCAGGCATTGATGAGTGTCTCCAGAAGACAGCTTGCCCCTGCTGAGCCACTGCACTGAAAAGACCTCTACAGAGTGTGCATGTTTGCCTCCAGAGAGCATCTGGTGCTCTTTCCTGGGTATGCTTCCATGTGCAACAGCAGTGCTCAGACAAAAGGGAAGGGCCCTTTAGACTCCTCAAAGGCGTTGGGAACCCAAACAGCTTTTATGTAGGTGGGTTACAGCTATCTACCCATATTTTTCGTATTAGAAATTGAAACTGAAAAAAAAATTAAGTATTCATCAATTCAGCTAATAATAGCAATAATACTCATTACATGTTAACAGAAATAGCATTTGTATGAAAATAACTTTTTAAAAAATCCACTAAAAGGTGGGGCGTTGGTGGTGCATGCCTTTAATCCCAGCACTCGGGAGGCAGAGGCAGGCGGACCTCTGTGAGTTCAAGACCAGCCTGGTCTCCAGAGCGAGTGCCAGGATAGGCTCCAAAGCCACAGAGAAACCCTGTTGAGAAAAACCAAAAAATAAAAAATCCACTGAAAAGAGGTGCACTGCCCTAGGTTTTTGCAAATCTCTTTAGTTGCCTGGCTCTACACACATAGCTCACAAAAATCTTCACAACATGAGACTTCAAAGAATACATTAAACCATGTCTAAGTTAGTATGAAGACAGTTTGGATTCCTGGATCCCTTGATACATCTAAAGGGACCCTAGGTGGCAGCTCCAGACATGCTGTAAGGACAACTGTTTGAGAATCCCCTTCTGAGGACTGACAGGATGGCTCAGTGGGTTAAGGCACCCACTGCCCCACCTAACAACCTGAGATCAGCCTCTGAGACCCTCCGGGTAGAAGAGAACTGACTCAGGCAAGTTGTACTCTGACCGCTGGCACAAATGCACACAAGATAAGAAAAGAATTCAAAAAAGAATCCCTTCCTGTCTTGCTGTCTTCCAAAAAGAAAATGATGGAAGCCTTCAATTTTTTTTTTTAGCACCAATTCAAATTCATCTATTCTGAAATTTAAGAAGTTTGATTTTCAAGATTTGTTTTTATCTATGTGCATGAGTGTTTTGCCTGCGTGCGTGCGTGCGTG